AGAAGAGTCACACAGGAAGTGTCACTGCTTAGGATGCTGGAAGGTGCATGGGAGGACCAGATTTTGTACTCAGGTCAACCACTTCAGGTTGGTTGCATGCTCCTGTAATCCTAGTTGCTGGGAGCCTAGAGGATCACACCTAGAAGACACTGTCAAAATGATCCATCTCTCTTTCTGTACCTCTCTCTCTCTCCTCTTGTAAGGAAAAAAAAAAGGAAAACAAAAAGACTAAAGAAAAAAGTCGGAAACTTTAATGCACAATCTCAAAAGTTTATAAAGAAAATAAATTGGTACTGATATATAAGATCTGAGGAACACACTTAATATATGACTTAATTAACCTTTATCAAACACTATATCTAATAGTAACATAATTCATATTTTCCCAATCATATAAAAGTATTTATCAAAAAACCCATAAGGTGGAGCAAAAGGAAAGCCTATAAAAACATCAAGCTTCTACATTTTTAGATTCTATTTTTATCATATCAGAAGTAAATTAGAAATTAATAATGAATAATGAGGAGAAAAACTCCACATGTCTGGAAAAATCAAAATATATTTCTAAATAAGCCTTGGATTAAGAAAGAAGTAAAAATTTTAATTAGAAAACATTTGAAACTTAATAAAGATAACACATACCCCCATTTGTGGAATACAACAAAAGTAATATTTTCAATACATTTGGCATCAAAAATATTTAATAAAATCAAAAGAAGCTGAAAGCAATACCTCTAACTTTAATGTGAAAAAGTTACAAAATCAGAAACAAATTTATTGTAAACAAGGCGAAAGAAATAACAAAGATAATAACAAATTAATGATATAAACAAATATATAATAAAGGTAATAATCAGAGTCAAAATGTTTTTTGTAAAAAGACTAATAAAATTAACAGAACCCTTACCAAGACTGGTTCATTAAAAACTACCACTGTCACAAATGAGAAATAGACTAATATTGTATATTTTCCAAATTAAAATAAAAATAAGATTATACTGTGGATTCATATAAGATGCTAATTTCAATTAAACAGATAAAATTCTTGCCAAAAAATACAAGCTTTATGAGGTGGCAGATAAAATAGAAAATTTGAATAACCCTATAAATACTAAATAAGTTGAAGCTATTATTAAAATCTTGTCATTAATTTTAAAAAAATTGCATATCCACTTGACTTAACCAGTTGATATATCCCAGGAACTTAGGAAGAAATAGCAGAAATCTTAAAGTCTTAAGGGTATAGTAAGATAGGGACAATTTTTATATGTCTCTATAAGAATAACAAAACTTGCTTCCAAAACTTGCCTAGGACATTACAAAATGGGAAGATTATAGATTTCTTTCTTTTTTATTAATTATTTTATTTAACTTTATTATTATTATCATAATATTTCCAAAGAGAGAGACACACAGGGGGAGAGAGAGTGAGAAAGCAAGCCTACAGGTCTGGGACTCAAACCACGGTCATTCATGTGGGAGTCCAGCACCCTTGACCACCATGCCACCTGCCGGCCCCAATAGACTTCTTTCTTAACTAACATAGATGTAAAACCTTTTATCCAGAGATTAAAAGAATGTATAAGAAAACATAATACAGTCATATATTCAAAGTTCAATAGATTACAACTATTAATATTCATCCAAGAAGGCAAGTGAGATTCACATTAGGAAATAATGTAATTTACTATATTAATGGAGAGAATTTGCGTATTAGCATTTCAAAAGATACATAAAGGCATTGCATAAAATTAGCATCAGTTCATTATAGAATATCTTAGCAAGGCAGGAATAAATAATAAATAATATCGTTAAAAATCTATGGTACTATTATTTACTGGTGAAATTTTGAAATCTTTCCTGGAATTAGGAAGGAGACAAGTATGTTTATACTCACAACATCTATTCAGCATCGTGCTGGAGGCCCGAGTCAGTGAAATGAGATAAGTACAAGACATAAGGTTTGTAATGGAAGAAATAAAATGTTATTATTCACAAAAGTCATGTTTATTTAACTAGATAATCTGAATCAGCAGACAAACTATTTGAATTGATAAGTACAATTAACAAGGTCATTTAATACAATTAACAAGGTCATTTAATACAACAATCAGGATTAAAATATTAATTGTATTTCTCCAAATCAGAAGCAAACATATAAGATATAAAAATACACTATTTACAATGGCATCTGGATATATAAAATGCCTTGAGAAAATCTAACAAAAGATATGAAAACCTTTATAATGAAAATCATAAACTATTTTTAAAGAATTTTTTATTAAACATTTATTTATTTTAATTTGACCAGAGAGGGACAGAGCAAGACAGAGAGAGAGAGAGAGAGAGAGAGAAAGTGAGAAAGCAAGCTGCCAGGTCTGGGACTCAAACCACTGTTGACCATGTGGCAATCCAGCACCTTTACCTACCATACCATCTGTCAGTCCTGAAAATAATAAAATATTTAGAAAAATTTAAAGTTCTGTATTTTACTTTTTTTTAGAGAGAAGTTTCTTGCTATAGGGCATGTGTGCTTGCCAGAGAGACAGAAAGAAAGTGAGAAATCAACCCCAAGGGGGGGATGACCACACACAATCCCTTCTCTTCCATTCTCCTCTTGGAATTTTGGGTACACGTGCACACACACACCCAGTATGTTTCAAACCACAAAATCTGGAACTCTAACCATGATCAGCTGTGTGGGAGTCCAGCACCTTAATCAATATGCTGCCTGCTGGTTCAGAAAAAATTCAAGTTCTTAAGTAAATAAAAATCTATACCATATTTGTGGGTTGAAATAATATCAGGAATATGTCAATTCACCCCAAATTAAGCTCTAGATTCAAGGATAGCCTAGTCAATATTTTGGAAATACTTTTGATTGACTAGTTGGCTTTAAAGTTCCCATGGGAATGCAAAATCCAAAAATGATTAGGCCTTTTTCTTTAAATTACTGGTGGTAAACTGATACTGTCCAATATTAAGACCTATTATGAAATTATGTTAACTAAGAGAATATGGTATCAGCTCAAAAATGAACAAAGAGATCCCTGAAACACAAGGAAGACTGGAAATAGAACCCCATATATTGTCACTGTTCTTGTTTTAATTCAAGTTTATTTTATTTACTTATTTTTTTATGAAAGACATGACACAACGTATAATAAGAGTCTGGTCTTGTTCATGAATGGTGCCAGATAGATTGGATATTCCTATGGGAAAAATAAATCTTGAGCCCCCTATCACCATAAAAAATTAAAAATCATTTCCAAATGGATCAATAATATATCCAAGAAAGGTAAAACAAAACAATCCTTATATGAAAAATAGGAGTAAATATGGTCTTGCACTAGGCAAATAAATAAAACTCAACAAGTAACAATTAAAAATAATGCTTAATTAAATTTTATTAAGGGCAAGCAGGTGGTGTGGAGGTTAAGGCAGCTGGATTCCACATGGTTGATTGTGTGCTTGAGTTCTGGATCTAGGGGCTTGAAAATTACACTAGGCACGTGTGCATGCCCTGGGAAGAGAATAGAGGAGAGGGGATTGTGGCGTGGCCACTCCCCTGAAGGGTGATTTTTCCCTTTTTCCCTTTCTTTCCCTCTCTCTGTCTCTCTCTGGCATGTGCACTGTATAGCAAACAAACAAACAAAAAAGCTATATTAAAATGAAAGAAATTGAGAAGTTATTTCCCCCCAGATGGGGATAGCCATGGCACAAGCCCTCTCATCCATTCTCCTCTCTGGGTTTTGGGCAGACAGGTACACATACCTGGTGTGTTTTTCAAGCTTTAGGTCTGAGACTCAAGTCACGGAGTCAACGTACCCATAGAGGGAATCCAGTGCCTTAACCATCATGCCGCCTACTGGCCCTCTGATATTATTTTTTCATCCTTCATTTTAGTAAAATTTCTAGGTTGATTAATTCAAGCAGTGGTAAGGTTGTTAGCAGTCTCATAACTACTATAAAAGTAAATTGTAATTTGCTAGAAATATAAATTGGTATGAGCATTTGGGGATATGACATCATCTAATGATGCTACTTCTCAGTACGATATTTACACTAAAGAATTACTTTCATGTGTACTAATAGACTCGTTTGTCTAAGAATGTTCATTTCAGCATTCCTTACACTAAAATCTAGAGAGAATTTTTTCCTGCTCATAAACTCTAGTTAAACAGGACCAGATATACAGTAATGTATGTATATTGAGGACAGAAGTTTGACTACTTTTTTCTTATTTCTAAAATCCCTCCCAGAGGGTCTGGGGTAAGTCACACCCACAGACATTAAGGCCATTTTGACCCATTTAATAACAAAAATCTCCCTACATCCTGTCCCTGGGATAGTATCCCTGCAATGGATGAGTCACATCCACAATCATTAACATCACTGACCCATTGGTAACAGGACTCTTCCAACATTTGGTCCTTGGGACAATATCCGTTTTATACAAGCCTCCTTATTTCTGTTAACGTACACTCTTTACTAATTCCTTTCCAAAGTTTACAAGCCCCACTTCCACATGTCCTGTCTTTTTGGGCCAGGCCCATGGAAAGTTCTTCACTAAATTCTCTAACTTTCAAAATCAAATAAAAGAAACCCTTGTACCTGATCACCCTGAGAGAGAGGTATATTTTGCCTCCTCTCTGGGCCTAGGTCATGCAAATTCGTGCTTAGAAATAAACCACATTTATTATTATCTTTGCAGAGTTGGTTATTTCCTTCAACAATATCATATAAAAGTTTGCAGGAGTTGTTGAGGTGGAACTAGACATACTTTTTTGAGATACTTCCATATGTACTTACACTGTAGCAGTAGATTCATATGTACTAATGTGATCAGATCTTCAAGATAAAGAATAAATGAACAAGTTGAAGAAAATATTTCATTTATTAATATAAATATGCTAATAAAAATAAGAATAAAAATATACCAGGAAATATTTTTCTTTATGCATACACATTTTATGTAAATTCATAAAAGAAATGCCTGGATGAATAGCCACAAAGTAATTAATGATAGTGATTACCATCAGAGAGTTAGGAGGAAATCTGCATTTGGAAGAAGTCACTGAAAAAAAGTATCATGGACATCCATTGTTTATCACCCAGCATTTACCCTCTCCCCTTAAGGTGCATGGAAGCCTCCCTCCATCTGTCCACCAATATGCTTGGGTGAAACTTAACACCCCAATCCCAGACTGAAACATGAAAACAAAGCCCAAAGCAATCAATGTTTTCCAGTCTCATGAAAATAGTGATTGGTTCAAGAGTGTAAACAAAAATAAGTCAAATTTATTTCTAGAAGTATTTAGTTCGTTTTATTTGTATTTTTAAGACAGGCTCTCACAGGTCGCTCAAGCCATCCTAGAGCACTTCACTGTCTGCCTCTCAGCTTCCTGGGCTATTTCAATTTCAGGCACGTGGCTTTGCACCCAGCCTTTAGGTTAAATGAAAATCGAACCTGGGCCTCCCTGGTCCCAGACTACAAAGCACAGCTGCATGACACCACTGGCCACCGCAGCTGGGCAATTCTGGCAACTTTTTAAAAGTTCTTGCAAAATATAAAAGTGGAAGGAGGAAAGCTAAAGCATTGCAGTCATCCTGAAACTTGAAAAGAAAAGCATGAGAAAGAAAAAGCCAACCTTGTGGTGGGCATGCCAAGGTATATATAGAGAGACGATCAGGGTTCTGCCACCTTTGCCACCACTCTGCTCCATCAATCAGTAAGTTTTTAATCATCTGCCACTAAAAGTTTTTCTCAATATAGGTTTTTTTGTTTCTTTAATTTTTTTTAATTTCCTTGCCAGAGGACTTGTGTGCTCCTAGAAGAGAAAAAGGGAGAAAAAAAACCCAGTGTTAGATGATCATGTTGCAATTCCTTTTCCTTCATTTCTCCATTCTGTCAGGATTTGAAGCATTCATGCACATATACCCCTCATGTTTTAAAATACTTTTAAAGAATTTATTTAATTTCTATTTATTATCATTTTTTTTTTAAATCTGACCAGAGTGAGAGAGAGAAGGAAAGAGAGAAGGCAAGCTGCCAGGTTGCAGACGCAAACCATGATTGGCCATGTGGGAGTCCAGAGTCTTAACCTCTACACCACCTGCTGCCCCATCCCAGCATGTTTTTCAAGCCTTTAGGGCTAAGCATTGAGCCATGGTCAGCCACATGGGATCCAGGTTTCCTATGCAGCACTAAACCTCTGCACTATGGGGCTCTCCCTGCTTTTACTAGAAAAATTTATTCATATACTTAAGAAAAACAAATAAAAATATCATGATTAGACTAAAGAATTTTGATTTTTATTTATCTTTTTAATAGATAAATAAAAACTGCCTATTTTAACATGTGTACATGATGTCTTGAAATATGTATCTATTGTGAAATTACTACATTGAATAAAAAGATGAGAACTCTTAACACCTACTGTCTTAGCAATTTTCAAGTACATTGTTGTTAACTATCATCACCATGTTGTACTGGACTAAAGGCTTTCTAAGGTCCACTCCTTTTTATCATTTTAAGGTTTTTATCTTAGGTTTTAATAAAGTATTAGAGATGAAGTCATCTGAAAATACTTTTAAAATATGACTCAGGGTCCTGGCGGATACACTAAAAGGATGGAGTGACTTCAAATCCTGCTTCAAATTATTTATGTATAAATAATAAATACATATAATTAGAAAGTAAAAATTAGAGGTGGAATCAAATAAAATTCCTAGTCTGATTAAACAAGGAAATATGGCCATCCTAGCCTAACTATTGCTAACAGAAAGAGGCCCTTCATTTAAAGTATCATGTTTCAAAATGAGAACATGGGCAACATGAAATTACAGACAAAAAGGTAAACTCCCTTCTTGTCACTGCTGTGTTAATGTGAAAAAAGAAGTATATCTTTGCATAGGGCCTTTAAAACCATCATCCTTGGGACCAGCAGTTGGCGTAATGTCTATGTCGCTTGACTCCCATGTAGCTGAAAGCGGTTCTAGTCCGGACCCAGTGGCTTAAACTCATGCCAGGCGCGTGTGCGTGCGTGCCCAAGATCCTGAGAGGAGAATGAAGGAGAAGGGATTGTGACGTGGCCATCCCCCCGGGAGGTGATTTCTCACTTTCTATCTCTCTCAGTATCTCTGTCTTCCTGGTGAGTGCATGCGCCCTATAGCAAAAACCTCTCCAAAAAATAAAAAAAACCCATCCTCGTTTTCCCCTATGCTTCATAACCTGGTCTCCTTTCTTTAACTCTTGCAGGGGGTTCAAGCAAGACAACCCATTCATTTCCTCTCTGGGCATTTCTGCTCTCCTTCCAGTTTCCCTAGAACATTGTGAGGATAGTGCCACTCTGTGAAGACCTGACATCCCTCACTCCAGCTCAGCCACCAAACTGCCCACTCCATCCGGGTGGAGATGGACATGTGTGTATTGCAAGAGGGGCCTGGGCCACAGCTCCTTCATGGGTGTGCCATGGTGATGACGCTCCATTTCTGAATACCTATTTGAGTTACAGAAAATATGTACTTGGTATTCTCTTTGTGCAGCATTTCCATGACTCCTCAACTCCTCAATTACTTTGTAAAATAATTCTACTGCTTACGATGCTGGATTTGTGTAACCTAAATAAACAGATGGCTTGCCTGTCACACGCTGGCAAACCAGATTGTTAATTGTAAATTAATCTCGAGGAAATACCTGGTTTGGGGCATAGCATCAATTCACTTAGCAAAGGGGTAATTTTACAGTCTAAGATCTTCTTGAAAATCTAAGTCATTAGTAAATTAAATGGTATGTTTTTTTAAAAAAAATGAAACTAGTTAAGTGCATGCATCATTCCTGGAACTGCAAATGTGTAATGCAGACCTGACCTATAGCACTCTATTAGCAGTTGGTGCAACACTCTTCTGTGGTTTCATTTTATTTTATTTTATTTTATTTTATTTATTTATTTATTTTTTATTAATTCACTTTACACCATCACAACACACAAATGAATTTTCCATCCAAAATACACTGCGCATTGGCTCAATCAAGCACATCCACATACATGTTCTCAGCAAATAATTTTCCAATTCTTACGTCCTGCATACCTTGCCCTTTGTCTTGCCATCC